TAATGTTTAAAGTTTTCGAACATTTGTAGCTTGTGTTGCGGATGAGGTTGTAGACTTGCTCGCGGAACCGGTGGATTCTGTTGCAAAAGTTTCACCACTCTGATAGGTAGCATCGTCAGTGCGCCTCCGGTGAAGTATTGGTGTTCTATCCTGTTTGTTATTTATATGCGTAAGTTTGCTGGGGTGTTTGGTACTGCTTCCGGTTCTGCTTCTCAGTGGTTTGTATGCAGGGTCTAATTCAATGTGTTTGTTGATGGAGTTCCGGGTAGAATACCAGGCCTCCAAGAATTCCCTAGCGTTTCTCTGATGAGCCACAATACATTGCAGCAACCTGGAACTACGCGAAGCAGAACAGGAGCAACTATACGGAGTCTTCAAAAGGAATAGATACCTGAAAGGTACAATCCGCTGTTACCTCCGAGACAGACCACAACAGGAAGACACAACACCCTACTGTACATAAGATATTTCAGATGACCACAAGACTACTCCTAACCCTAGGTATCCGGGTAGCCCACAAACCAACAACCACCCTAAAACCAACTGACGAATGTAAAGGATCCCATACGCAAAACCGGTGTAATATACAAAATACCATGCAAGGACTGTGAGAAACACTACATAGGCCAAACTGGAAGAAAACTGACGATACGGATACATGAACACCAACTAGCCAGCGAGAGACGCGACCAATGCTCACTTGTCTCACTACACACGGACAACGAGGGACATGAATTTGACTGGGACTACACACGCATAATCGCACAGGCCAAACAGACACCAGGGATTTCCTGGAGGTCTGGTATTCCAACTGGAACTCCATCAACAAACACATTGAATTAGACCCTGTGTACAAACCACTGAGAAACACAAATGGAACTGGTACCGAACACCAACAAACCGAGGCATATGAATAACAAGCGGGACAGAACACTAACACTTCACTGGAGGCACACTGGCCATGTTACCCAGCAGGGTGATGCAACGTCAGCAACCATACCACCGGCTTGGCGAGCGTGTCTACAACCTCTGGCCTAATGTCTCCATACATGGTCAGTATCTAATTTTATTTGACAACTCTCAGTGGCCTGAGAGTTGTATTGCATTGTGGATGGATAAAATATATATTAATAAAGCAAATTATTGTAATTCCATTGAACTTTCAATCTCTTTCCCTCTTAAGCTCCAGATACGAAGTGCTCAAAGACAGCTAGCAATGGGCACCAAATGCTGGCCAGCCAGTAATACCCACATCCCACAACTGAATTAAAAAAAATTACCCTGAAACTGCACACCTGTCTACTCTAAAGTTCACTACTACTTTGCCTGTTTCCTTTTTATTCCTCTTACTCATTCTCTTACACTCTTTCTTACTCGCTGTCTACCCTCAATAAAACCTCAACCTTCTCTAGTCTCTCATCCTGCAGATTTTATGACTTCCTTAAATAACTGTTCATATGCTTCATTTCCTTCCCTGCCACCTCCCAGTCTTCCCTTATTTGTTTCATCAAAAACGTCAGGATTATAGACTGATAAAGAAGCAGCTAGAGTTCCCACTTGCTGTGCAGAAAACCTGCACAGTGAACTTGTAGATATCAAGTGAGAACAGGATTGGGATCAGCTTTGCGTCACATGATCACATTGTTCACCTATACTGCCTGTCTAAAGAAGAGCCAGTCAACATATGTTAAAATGTGATCAATATCCTGGGGTGAGGAAGGACAGAAGCATAGATGTAGTTTTGATCTGTGCCTTTACTTTCCATCCTCTGAAAAATCTAGCTCAACACTTAAACAATGTCTCCTTAGTTACCAAAAGATTACACTCAGTCCGTCAGTGCATTTAATTGTTTGAACCTTGAACGTTTTGTTTCTTTTCAATTTCTCATGTATATATTTTGCATTTCATTTCATGCCATTCTATAACAATGCACCATTGTACCCCACCCCACAATTTTATTTTTAGAATGAGGGTGAAGAAGAATCAGAGTCAGCAACGATCAGTCAGATTCCAGAAAATGGGGATCTGACAGGACGAGCTGAGAGTGGGACACAGCAAAATGGAGTAGGGGAGGACCCCACTGCCAGGTCTACCGAAACTCACAGCCAAGAGTTACAAATACAGGAGACATGTAAGTGAAAGCTTGGCCTGCGTGGGCTATGTAGTTTTGGGAAAAATTATGGCAGTCGTGAATTTGGTGTGAAAGTGGACTCAATGCTGGTCTTTAACTCCGAGAATCAGCTTCAAATCAAAGCCATACTGGTGAATTGCAATATTATCTCTTTTTTTCCCCTTTGGGCAGCCTCATGCCACTTCCTAAAGAGTACAAGCACACAAAAGAAGGTACCCCTACTTCAGTCACAAAATTGATTGACCATCTGAAATGACGTGTGCAGCTTATAATAGCAGTTTTTCTTAGTTTACAGCTGCAGCAAATTATTGACCTGTGTATGGGGAGTAATTTACGTGGCAATGATGGAACCGGTTCATGTGGTGATGTAAATCAATCTTTACTCTGTGTCTAACTGAAGATTTAACTGTCCTGTGTGCTATTGGTACAGTATAAAGGGAACATTACTCTGTACCTTGGCCATCCTTTGTTTAAACTATTCTGTCCCTGTCCATGGAGTTTTTGATGAGACAGTGTGGAGGAAACTTACTGAGCACCTAACCTGAGTTGAAAGAAAGGATAGGTAAGATAGACTATTTTCACTGGTTGGGGACTCTGGAACGAGGGGTCATAGTGTGAGAATTAGGGCCAGACTGAAAAGACTGCTGGATGTTTGGAATATTCTTCCACAAAGGCACTTGATGCTAGATCAATGGTTGCTTTTAAATCTGCGTTAGATACATTTTTGATAAGAACTATTAAGGGATATGGGCCAAAGGCAGGTACATGGAGTTAGGCCACAGATCAGCCATGATCCCATTGAATGATGGAACAGGCTCAAGGGGCTGAATGGCCTATTCCCATTCCTATCTAACAAATACTGCTGGGGAAGCTGCAGTGTAAAGTCAGCTTTACTGTTTCTGACCTGTCCCTGGGAGTGTTTAAATGGACAGTGATGAAGTGCTGTTACATGTAAGGCAGGCTTTAAGATCTGAGCAAGGGTTAGAAAGGTGGTCTTTTACTTGAAATTATTTTGGAAATTTAAATAAAACGTGTATCTTGCACCCTACGATAGGACAAATGACAGTTGCAACACGTACTCTAACTTATCAGATGCCTCCATTCTCATGGTTAAAATCATGCTAAATGTGACCAAATGTAGAAAATCACAGGATTTCAAGCCACAACAGTCATTTCCTCTTTGTATGGATTTACAAACTTGATTATTTATCAGTTTGTGTGATTGATGCATGTTTGCTATTTTTGGCTAAAACACATGTTCCTAATCTCATTGTGAGTACAGAATTTAAATGCAGTCCATACAAAAACCAGAAAAATCCATAGTTCAGTTTCTACCCAAAAATCTAGGCCAGGAATCGTGAAAGGCTCCTGCATTTTAGTTCAAAACCACCACATTAGAAGATCAGGGCAATTTGAAGCATTCGGCCCCTCTTGTTTTTTTTTTGTGGTACTGCAAGGTGTACATTTGTGGCCCTGGCCCAGAAGAGTATCAGTCGTAGTTGTGAGGGTGAAATACTGTCTAGTCACTGTCGAAGCTTTCATATGAAAAATTGCTATTTGGGTAAGGTCTCAAGTGCAGCCAGTGCCCTCAGGGACATCATGTTGAGCTTGATTCTTGCTACTGCTGCTACTCAGTCGAGGGAAGTGGGATGAAAGAAATTAGAAGAGAACCAGAAAAAAAGGTGAAAATTTAAGTTGAGTCATTAACAATTTTATGTAAAATAGTGAATTTTTTTGGCTTTCAGAAGTTAGACTATTAAACCAGAAGCTCAGTTGATATTCCAGGGACCGGGTTCAAATTCTGCCACAGGAGATGGTGGCATCTGCCCATGACATTGTTGGTAAGAATGACTACCACACAATTCTTGTGGAGCCGAAATCCTGCCTTCACATTGAGAGTGGTACTATCACCATGCTAAATGGGACAGACTTGGAATAGATCTAGCAATTCAAGACTGGGCATCCATGAGGTGCTGTGGACCATCAACAGCAGAACTGTGCTCCAACACAATCTGCAACCTCATGGCCCAGCATATCACCCACTTAACTATTACTATCAAGCTAGGAGGTAAGCCCTGGTTCAGTGGAGAGTGCAGGATGGCAAGCCAGGAGCAGCATTAGGCATATTTAAAAATGAGGTGTCAATCTGGTGAAGCTACCAAACAAAACTACTTGCATGCCAAATACCATAAGCAGCAAGTGAGGGTCAAAGCTAAGTAATCCAACAACCAGTGGATTGTAAATATCTCTATCCTCAATAATGGAAGAACCCAGTACAAAAGATAAGTCTGAAGCATTTGCAACAATCTTCAGCCAGAAGTGCCGAGTGGATAATTCTCAGCCTTGTCCAGAGTTCTTGTATCATGGATGTTAGACTTCAGCCAATTTGACTCACTCCACATGATATCAAGAAACAGCTGGAGGCACAAAAAACCGCAAAGGCTGTGGGCCCCAATGATATTCCAAGATAGTACAGAAGATGTGCTGTAAAGCTTACCACACTCATAGACAAGCTGTTCCAGTAGAACCACTACACTGTCATTTAGCCAACCTTGTGCAAAATTAGCCAGGTATGGTCCGTACACAGGAAGCAGGGCAAATACAACCTGGCCAATTACTGATCAGTCATTCTAATTGCAATTATCAAAGTTATGGAAGGAACATGATAAATGGAGTGAGCAACAGTGCTATTGAGCAACACTTGCTCATTCAATAACCTGTTCACTGGCACTCTGTATGGGTTCTGCCATATCCACTTAACTCTTGACCACATTACAGCCTTGAATCAAAATGAACAAAAGAGCACAATTCCAAAGGTGAGGTGAGAGTGTTTGTCCTTTTCAACAAGGCCACATTTGACTGAGTGTGGCATCAAGGATTCTAGTTAAACTAGAATCACTTGGAATCAGGGGAAAACTCTCCGCTGGCACAAAGATGGATATGGTTTTTGGTCAGCCGTCTCAGTTCCAGAATATCTGTGCAGGAGTATTTCTGGATATACGTCACTGCTCTATCGGTTGAAAATTGATCAGTTGACATCCAGGACAAAGCAGCCTACTTGCTTGGCACCCCATCATTGAACATTCAGTACTTACTCCTGACCCCCACTAGCATAGTGTGCATCACTGACAAGATGCAGTGCAGAAGTTCAACAAGGTGCCTTAGCACCAAGAATAGGGCTCTTTTTTTCTCTTTGTAGTTCATTTGGCATCAGAATTCAGGTGTGATCCCTTACAGTAAGGACAGTTTTCAAAGGATGGTCTCAGCCTAAATGGCAGGAACCATAGTGGATAAGGAACATGACTATTTCAATCAGCTTTGATGTTGCTCTTTAATTACAGCATAACCGCTTAAGTGGAGCATTAAACATAACACAACTGCCCAGAGCACTCCACAGCAGTATTATTCAACAAAGTAGGGCACTGAGTCACAGAAATATGACAAAAGATTGTAGGGCACAAAGTAGGGCACTGAGTCACAGAAATATGACAAAAGATTGATCAAATGAATGTCTGTCTGAAAAAAGAAATGAGGTAGGGAGATAGAGGTGTAGGAATGATGTTCCAGAGCTCGAAGCCTGGGCAACTGAAGGCACAGATACATCAGGATAAGGAGTTTGGTATTCACACTAGGAAGAGAAGTTTCTTAACTCAAGTTTATGAATTTTTGCAAATCTCTTCTGTAGAGAATTGTGGATGTTCAGTCACTGACTATGCTGAAGGCTGAGATAAATTTGAGTTTTGGGTTGTAATGGGTTTGAGAGATATGGCAATCAAATGGGAAAATAGAATCTAGCTTGAGGCCTGTACACCTGTTACTTCTCCCCTAACCTCTTCTATCCATTCAAACAATTCCAATCAAGGCCACTAGCTGATTCCTCCCTGAAGTATGGACAATGTAGTGGCTGTTGTTCCTAATGAGATTTACCAACCTCTCTCCTTTATTTTTCCCCCCACAGATTGAATCTCGCAAGTTGACGTTCCGTGAGAATGCCAAAGCCAGGACAAACCACGGAGCAGACATTGTGTACAAATCCCCCAACGTCTCAAACAATACCTCTCCTCTCTGCAGCATGTCACTGACAGAAAGCCTCAGCTCCCTCGGATCACCGCAGCTTGCTACTCTCACTGAAGACCTGTCTGCCACTCTAGCACAGCAGAGCTTGTGAATTTTTCTTTCCTTCCTTCTTGTTCTTTTCAAACTACATTTAACCAAAACAAGAAGTTTAGCCTCATTAACAGGATTTGTGCTTTAAAAAGGAGTTGTTCCTATTGAGTTATTTCAGGGCTGGGTAGCTTTACTGCAATCTTTTTTTATCTAAATTACTCCTCCCTATGGGACATTGTGAGAAATAACTTATAAGTTTGTGTTCTTTTGGGCTGACAGGCTCGCTCAGTGCTTTGGTTTCTCTATCAGTGTCTGGCAGAACAGTTTGGAGACTGAGTACAGGAGCCTATTGGATCATCTGTTAATCAATGAATAATAATCAAGGGTGCTACTTCTAATTAATTCGAACACTCTAATCCAAACTGAAACCCAAATATAAAACTTGCCTTTCCAACAACCATTTAACTAAATTAAAAGATTTGTCTGTGTTTTGTATCTTTTTTCCAAACCGCACTTCCTCATTTAGTACCTCCATCCATGAAATTCTAATAGCAGTTCTAAATTAACATTTTAAAAAAAAAAATTTGCCCTTCTGCCTGAATTTCTAACAACTTACAAAAATTCTAATTCCATTTTCTTTTAAAAGTTATTGCTTTCCAAATTCTTCCTTTTTCTTCAAATAACTATCATTACAATATTAAGATTGACATTGAGAAAGGAAAGAGGAGGACTGGAGGAGTATAGATATTCAAAGAAAGTGTTTGCGGTGAATGTTAGTGAGGAATTTTCAAACTTTAAGGGTTTGTTTAAAATCTTTTTTAAAACAAAACACAGTCATTATTATTATATAGAATGATACATTATAGGAGGTGACTATTGATTATTTTCCCCTTGTGAAATTCTGTAATGTCTTGGCCATGTTTCTCTCAGTGCTATTTGCCAGATTCCTATACCATGAGAACTGTAGTTTTGGGAGTTGATCACTGCTCACTTCCTTTTTAGGCATTTTAATGGAATTATAAAATCTTACATTTCGCCCATCACGCCTGTGCCAATTCTTTATAGAGCTGATACTCCTGTTACTCCCATTACTCCCACTCTTTCTCCAAAACCCTCTACTTTTCTTTAATTTTCAATTTCATAGTGGGTCAACATTTCTACTTCTGGCCTGTGAAATAGTGAGAGCTCCATTCATTACACTCTCTCATTTACTGAGTCTGGTGTTTAAGTGCAGAATTAATTTATTGTCACTCAGATGTCACCTACATCCTGGTGAAATGGATATTTCAGCCACAATGAGAACTGAGTGGGATAAAGGATCATCCTCTGCCTGAACCACTTGATATTGTTTGGTGGTTCAACTGAGTCAAGAGCATTCAGAGCAAGCTGGTTTGATACTCAGCACATTAACAAGTGGGTGCACTTTAAAACCAGCCTTCTTAATAACATTGTTCAAACTGATCTTGACGGAGGGCAGATGGGGATTAAAAAATAATTGAAATGTAAAACCATGAACCAGCAGAGAATGGTTGTGGATACGTTTGCTGTCCAGTGTGTGCCCTGTAAAGAGATCTATTGAAGTTATGGGTGCTGAATCCATCACTCAAACCAAATTCCTGGAGTTCCTAAAACCTAGAATCTCAAGCTGTGAACTTGTCCCTCCCACTTAACATTCTGTTTTTAGTGAGCAGAGTATAGCAGGGGAAAAGTGAAGCTATCAGGGCCTGTGTACAGGCAAAGGTAGTCGACCTGAAATATTAACCCTGCCTTCCTCCCTGCAGAGGTGAGGTGCTGTGTTTTCACTCTCTCCCCTTTCAATTGAATGTCACATCCTTGGGAATCTTCTCCATCATAAAAAGGAACACCTTAAGATAAAAGCCAATCCATTTAAATTTGGTTTTTGCACAAGTGATATGGCTAAAATGTTCACTCCATCCAGTGTGATCTGATTTTATTTTTAAGTGCCTCTTATCTGTTTTCAAAAGTGTTTAAATTTAAAGCACATTCCCAAATGCTGCTGTGTTGAAAAAGGACTGTTTTGCTTTATTTTTAGCATCTTTTATTGGGACCACATATGCAATTGTGTTCGTGGCACCTTTCAAAATGTGCACTTGCAGTAAAGTTGAAATATCTCAATGCCATCCTTAAATCCAATTAAAATAAGCCTCCAGGGGTGACCTATCCAGCCACAAACCTGGTGGGAGGGTAATTTGGTTAGAGGGAGGGCTAGGGTCACAACTGGATTTTTCTGTGTAGTGATTCAAAGCCGTTACCCGCTCTTCCTGCATTAAGAACAAGTCCTGTTAGTGAATGAAACAGAGGCCTCTTTCCCTCAGTCTTTGCAGCTTCTGTGTTACTGCCTCGGTGTTTAAATCTGTTTCAAAAGAAAACTGTAATTTGTTTTAACTTGTAGATTTCTTCAAAAGTTAATATTCGGTGATGAAGTACTGATCATTGTAAAATGAGTGGTGATTTAAAAATACAATTAACTTTTTGTTTTCTGAGCAATATAATCTTAAAGGTTGTGTTAAGTCAAGTGCCACCTTTATTAAGAAGAGTCATTTCAGGCAGGATGGTGGACTGGGTTAGTGTCTTCCAGGAAAGTTTGTTTGCAGTGGAGTTTGGTATAGAAAGCAGCCGGGTATATGTGGAAGTGATGTTCGTACAGAATTATATGAAATGAAAAGGGAGGAAAGAGAGACTTTTAAAACATCATGGTCATAAAACAATGTGTAGCAATGAGCCAAGTTTTAATGGACGATATGACATTGAAGTTAGTGACACAAAATGGTAACTGCCACAACTGAATGAGTGGAGATATAGGCCCCTTGTGCCTTGTGTGTATTTAGATTTATCAAATTTAAACTTGCAGGTTTCACTTGTGCGGTGGGTGAGAGATATGCACAATGCAATTGTGTTCGGTAACTGGCCTCCAAAGAAGAAGCTCAGACTATAAAGTACCGAGTGTCTTCACCAGCACAAAGGGAGTTCGTATAAATTATCTGTTTGAACAATACAGAGATCAAAATTCTGCAGAGCAACTCCAGAAATGTGTGCAATATTGTACCTCTCCACAGAATTTTTAAATTTGCATGAGGTGAGAATGAAGCCCTGATTTACAGAATGTCTCCTTCAGTTTGTGGAAGGCCAGTACAAAGTCAGCAAGTGAGACCTGGATGTCACCAGAGGCACGGAGTTCACCATCTCTTTTCTCAATAGTGTACTGTCTGTAGTGGTAGGTGGAGAGATAAAGTTTGGTATCCTTATTTGGGATACAATTGAAAGATGTTTCTGTTGGCGAGTTAAACCCTGCCTAATTTGGGGAGGAGGACCCAAACTGATAAGGCAAATGAAAGGGGTTAACCATGGAAGATCATCTGTGAATTGATGAATCTGGATTTTACAACAGGGCTTTACTTTTCAGGTGAAGTCAGTTATTCTAGTGTAACATTAATGTTTGCTTTATCAAGATTTGGCAGACAGTGGTAACTCTTGCTGAAAAGGATGTACAGTGTTCCACACTTGCTGCTGTTTATCTTCATCCCAATGCCATTTGTCGTGAATTTACTGCCTCTGCTCCAGTCTGTCCCAGTACCATCACTGCTTCTCTCCAGCCTTGCATTGCATTTGCAATCGTAGCTGCACTTAAGCTTTTAACACTATTCAAAATAGCTCGTGTTTAATATATAAATATATTTTCTGTTATTGTTTACACTTAACTCAAAGTAGCTCTAGAAGATGGCTGTTTATAACATTTTTATTCTCTGCACTAATGTTCAGGTGTGTGTTGAGAGATGGAAAGGACTGTGTAGCATTTTGAGTTATCTTTTTTTAAAGACGAAAGTTTGTTTTGTATATGTGCGTGTGTGTGTTTTCAGAACTTACACCAGTGGAAAGATAGCAAACTCACTTTAACTGGTCCTTAGATCAATGACTTCAGCATTGTGTTAGTGTACAGTTTGTGTCCAAATGCAGTTTTGTTTTTTGTGAATTAGGATGGGTATGAGCTGTCTGGGAAAACTAAGATTCCAGTGAACTACTGTCCTGGAGTTGCTGGAGGTTTAGCACCGTTCCTGATTGAAAAGTGTTTCCATATTAGACATTCATGTATTTCCAGGTTTCTGTTTTCCTATTTCACCCATTACACCCTCCTCTCTTGTTGAAAGGAGTGACTCATGCTGGGGCTGTACCATTTTGTGGGTGAGGTAATTCTGATTTACTCATCAATGTGGCCATTCCCAATGAACTACCCATAAGTACGCCAATACATGTGTCTCTAACAGAACCCGTTGTGTAGCAAACAAGAACTCTCTTCAAGCCGGTCAGACCATCAGTTAAAATTTTGTTTCTTGAATACTGTAGAAAGCCTTCAGGATTTATAACAGGAACAGGCGGGCGGAGTACCTAGGTTTGGAAGCTTTTTCTGCTGTTAGCTTATCTCAGTCGACTCATCAAGTGGTATAGTGTCAGTGGCTGCAGTAGATCCCCTACATTACTGATTATCTTCCAGATCACCTTATCCCCAGTCTATCTCCCACTGCAGTTTTACATGTAGCAGAGAATGAGATCACCTTTGCTGTTACAACCAGTCTTATTGGATATTCTGTACACAATGTCTGGGAGAATTAAGGAGCCCCACAAGAGTTGGTGCCCTTCAGGAGATGAAAGAGTAGAAATTAGCAAGCGATGTTAAAGAAATGGAGAGGTATTAGTGATGTTTATTGGGATTTGTATTGGCTTTTAGAAGCACCTTTGTTGTGAATCAGTCTGCTTTGTCCTTTCCTTTCAAATTCCCATTAGGGGAAATAAAAGGGTTAGGGCGTGTGTTTGGTGGGCCCTTCTCTGTTTTCAATAATTTGTTAAAAATCTATTGCTAAGAGCCATTGCTATTCATCTTTACTACATTTACCAGTGGAATAAGATTAGATTCATTTCAGTACAAGAATACACATTTGAACAAAATTGATTTTAGGACAAACGTGGGATTGCTGTGAGCTCGAGAATCCCATGACAGATTGGTTCAGGTTTACAATTGTGTTGAAAAATGCTATATAAAAATTTTTGCATCCGACAGTTTGTAAAGAATTGTACAATCCGCTCAGTGCGAGGATTTCAGATGTTATGTGCATGTGTATTTGTTACCAGGATCAATTTAAAGTGATGTTTGTGCTGCTGTGATTGTGATTACTTCCTTTTGCGTTGCCTTTGTGTGGCTTAATGTGAATTGGTCTGTACCAGGAGCAAGTGATTCTTTGACATCATCTGAATGCCATGTGTTTTTAAACCACCATACCACTTCCCAGTACCACCTGGAGTAGAAAGATGCTATTGTAGTGCGATTATGGGCAGTCAACCAATCTGAGGAAACTCTTGTACGTCCACAACTGACATCTCAACTTTCTTGGTTGAGAGAGAGATCTGGGAGGGTGCATGGTGGAAATCAGCCTGGGTTGTCATTTCTAATGGCTATTCAGCAACTGTATCTAATAGATGTCCAGAGAAAAGAATAGGTTTAGATTGCGTCTGTAGACAAATAGCTCACCTAGATTATTAGTCATGGGCAAAGTGCTTATGAAAGCAAAGATCCAACTCTTTTGTACATGTGGAGGTGGGGAAGAACCTGGCAGGCCATTAAAACTTGGAGTCTAATGAGAGCCACTTTAGGGAATGTGTAAATGGTATTTCAATAATCAGTGTGACTTGATTCCAGAGGTAATGCTCGATTTGACCTATAATGTCCTCCTCATCTTGACATCACTCTCCCCTCTCCTACTCACCACCCACCGAAAAAATTTCCTCTGTTACTGACCACTGTGATTGTTGGCCATACCAGGTCACCTCCAGAATGAACATATTTGCTTGTGAAATGTTCCTTTGAATGAATAAGCAAACTTTTTTGTTTTGCATCTGCATGTTGTACCTAGATTTCTTCTTAAAGCTTTATTGGTTGGGTGGGGGTGAGTGGAAAGCAGTGAAATAATGAGGACACTGATAGTTTGCACTCCAGGCTAGTTGCCATGGAGTGTGGAACCTAGTGTGACCTCCATCAGATTCTAGAGCAGGTATGTGAAGTGACAGACAATGACTGATGTTTACTCATGTATATTATATTCTTTATAAATATTAAAACAAACACTGCAGTCCACTGCAAGGCCAATATATCCCCTCCCATCTCCTTAAAAAAAAAATTAAGTCTTGTGACCATTGTGAGACTGGATGACTTGTGGCTCTATATAAATTACGAAGAACCAGTGTCTCTGACAGCCTGCATAGAAAATAAATATGAAATGTTTACTGCCCTTTTAAAATCAGTTTCATCGTCCAAATGTGAATTTTTGATAGCAAACTATTTCAATTCAAAGGGACTTGACATCACGTTGGCACTGAGTTTAAAGTATTGGGCCTTCATCACTCATCTTATACTCAGTTGATGCTGCATTGTTGAGTGTCTCCTTGTACATGTTTCACCTCGCTTACTTCAGATCAGCAATTCTTTTAACTGCTGAACTTACCACCGCCCAACTACCAAGACAGTCCATTCAACAAACCTAAATTCAACAGAAAAGAGAGGCAAGATAAACACTGCTGATAGTTTTAGTGAAAATTTGAGGATGAGAAAAGCCTATTGTTGTGGCACAAGCATCAGTTCCCTACCAGTCTATTCTACATTTTCTTCCCTTCTTGCCATCTACTCCCTCCTCTTTCCCCCTTTCTTTGGTGTTACCACTCTCCTTCATCTATCTGCATTTTGGACTGTATCAGCCTATAGGTAACCTAGTCTCGTTTTTTTTCCCCCCCCATTCATTACCTTTTTAAAGAAGTTTCTTTTATTGTTTTTCACTTTTCGGTGAGACTAACAAACTTGTAATCTCAGTTGTGCCCTTTAAATTTCTTGTAGCTTTTTTAATCAAACTATCATTTCCCAACCAAGGAACTTGAAGCTTTAAGCATCAGTCCACTAAGGTCACAGAACACAACTTCAAGGCATGAATTCTTTACAATGAAGGACATTTTGTTTTAATAATTTGAAATGAGTAAAGCGAGACATTTTTTAAAAAACTTGTTACTGAAGACCAAGGAACATGAGTTGACATTTGGTGTTTTGTGTGTTTTTTTGAAATCCATAAATGGATTTTAAACAGTAAAATGGCTCCAGCAGTGAGTACCTGGGTGAGGTTGTACAGTATTTCTGCTGCCGCTGTTGTCCACACATCTAATGTTCCAGAATTTTCTTCTCGCTTTTGCTGTTTGGCTGCTGCTAAGCAACATCTCTGTGACAGAACTCAATTCCCATTGTTCAGTCCTTATTGTAAAAGTAAAAGTTTGAAATAAAGCTTATATGTTGATGTTAGCTGTGTATGTTTTATGTTATATTTTCTGCAGTTATGCCATGTACTTCTTTCCAAAATGTTTCCATGCAGCAGCTCTGTCGCAGAGTGTTGGACTGTATTTCTATGTTTAGCTTCCAAATTCCCTGTATTTCAGGGACACTAATTTTTTGAACCAATGTACATCTAGCTTAATTCTGCTCCTATGTCTTAAGGTCTTATTTATAATTCTTTGGAGAGGGGAGATGGGGTTCTGTTTATTTCCAGGTATTAATGGTATCCTCATTTTCACCTCTGACCTGATGGTCGATGTCCAGGGAAATTCCAATATTGTCAATGAATTAGGATTTCCTGGGGGTCCTGGAACATATCTTTTGGTTGCACATCTGACTATCTGGAGACTAGGAGATCTGGGCCACTGTTTACCCTAGAATGAAAACAATTCAGTCCAGCTGACCTGATGCTCTTCCAGGTGCTTTCTGGAGGTAAAGGGCTGACTGCAGTTTGGTTGAAGGCATCAGGAAAGATGTAACCTACATTAAATGACATTAAACTACTGTAGTGGCTAAGGATTTGTTCCTTGCTGTTCAGAAAATAAAATATGGAGGTACTAGTAGGACACTGGCCTTTCAAATTCAACCTTAAAGAACAAGACAGATGTTTCCCTTGTCCGCTGACCAGAAACACATAAATAGATTAATTTTGCAATATAAAATAGCAATTCAACAGTTGTGCTTCATGGTCCATGTTAGTTTGCAGTGCCATTGTTTTACAATTTGCCAGAAAAATGGTGCAGCTGCTGGAAATACTGAGCAGAACTGGTAGCATCTATAGCGAGAGGAGAAAAACCAAGTTAACTTTTAATGTCAGTGACCTTTCATCAGAGACCCCAAATTTTAATCCTTGTTTTTTTTTCAGTCTCTTCCTTGGCCTCACTCTTTGCTATTGCCAAGTTTTATTACTTCACCATTGACAGTCATGCCTTGAAGCTGCCTCAGTTCTAATTCAGGAAAGGTGAGTAGGGAGAGCTCCAACTTATCTCAGAGCAGGTTTTTTGGTCATCCCATATCATATTATGTGGCTGTGTCAGATTCCCTTTGATGTTCTTGTGGAGTGTCTCAGGACATTATATACCCTATTAAAAGCATTTCATAAAAGCAATTTGTTATTCCACTTATAATGCCTTTTGCTACTTTTAAAAATGAAATTCAAACAAACAACTGAAGTGCATTATGTTGATGAGACACAGTTGGAACTAGGCAAAGCATCCTTTACCTCCTATTCCAACAAATGCTGTGATTAAAAATGGGAGAGAATGACCTTTAAGAGGAAATGACATTTCACAAAGAACAGAATTTGGAAATCTTAAGTGCCTGCAGGTAGGAACAAATCCTGTCAAATATATTCAACCCAACCCAACCCAACCCAACCTAACCTACCCATTCTTCACAGCTTTCTTCCTAGGCCCTTTAAAACATACTGTCAGTTTACTTTCTAAGTGAAATATCCTTTTTTCAATTTCCCACCTGGCATTTGAGATCGTGTTGAAAGTAAAGCAGAATTTCTTTGATTTCTTCTGGCACAATTAGTGGCTGACCTTGCATAAGTTAAAAGCCTGTTAACAAAAAAATTTACGTGTGCAACATTGCACAATTGTATTTGCCTTCCTAACTGCCAAATGAACCTGCATGTTAACCATAAAAGAATCCTGAACTAGGGCTCCCAAGTCCCCTTTGTGCTTAATATTCCCAAAGCCTTTTCCCCTGTTTTAGAAAATAGTTTATCTCTCTTTTTCTTACCAAAGTGCATTTTCCACGTTGTATTCCACCTGCCACTTCTTTAGGCAAGTGGGCAATGTGTCCAGGTCCTTTTGCAGCCTCCCAGCTTCCTCAACACTACCTGTCCCTTCAGCTATCTTTGTGTAATCTTGCAAACTTAACAACAATGCCCTCAGTTCCTTCATCCAGACTGTTAATATATATTAATGTGAATTTTAAGAGGTCATAACACTTAACCCTGTGGAAGTCTGCTGGTTATCTCTGGTTGCCATCTTGAAAAGAAATTTCTTTGTCCCTACTAAGAGTTGGTTGTTGGTGTATGGTTCAAGCTTCTTCTGTTTGCTGAGTTACGCTATTGTTTAAGAAAGTGGCAGTTACATAAGTGCACCCTGGTTCATAAGGGGTATTAGACATCAAGACAAAATCCTACACGATAGATTACCCTCCTGCCCATCATTTAAAAAGGTCATTCTATAGAACTTCCCCAAGCCTGAGGCTATTTAACTTATTCTGTACTATTTGTTGTGGGGTAGTCATGACCTAAATTTCTGTCTGTATCTCTTAACTGTCATTAGACTAGCTCGGGCTGGAATCTAAGCAAATGTATTAGCTGTTGTGAAATATGAGATGTAGTAGTAGAAAATCTTCCAGCCTCAAAAGATTGCTCAATGAAGTTTTTTGTATAACCCTTGTTGCAAGTGAGACCAAAGATACAAAGGTAAAGGTAAATTTTGATTACATGGGTTCTATGACCAATGGGATGCATTAGCAATCGTTGGTGACTGTTAACTAACAAGAAAACAATTCCTTTTTTGGAAAAAAAAGTACAAAAACATTGACAAACTTGTAGTCTTTAACTAAATTTTCCAATCATGGAACTCAGAAAACATTGTCCATATAGAAACACATTCACCCAGTTAGTTGGGCTCTTGCTTAATAAAATTATTCCAATTACACAGTTTTACATACACAATCCATTATAAATATAAGTTATCTGAGATGCTAGGCTGGTCTGCCCATCAGTTTCAAGTAATTTTGCAGAAAGTTGAGCAGTTTTAGCCTCTCAACACACTAAATAAAGCAGATTATAATCTCTTTTATACAGTAGATCAAGCATTTCTGATACAGAATACAATACAAGCTTAGTTGCCACCTCTCCCTCTCCTAGTGCATCTTTCACTTTGCTGGCCAGCAGTTCAAGAGCTCCACAAGCAATGACAGCACTTCCCCATGTTCTTTCTGAAGATCAGAGGATATTTCTGGGAGCTCATATCGCAGGCAGGTCTTGATCATCTTGTGTACAGCTCTGCGGAAGCTGTATAGCAAATAGGCTGTCTTCGGGTCCAGCTCAAGTTGCAGGAGGCTAGAGTCAGCCAGCGTTAGCAGCACAGAGTCACCATCCTCTGAAACAGAAATGAGAAATGAACACTGCAGATGATTTAACAGATTTATTATCCAGACTGCAGTAGTTTTTTTTTTTGCTGTGACACTCTCTCAAACTGGAGGAATGAAGCTCAAAACACATTCTCTACAGTATGATTCTCAAGTAAATCCATCAACTGACCCACACCTGACAATATTTTATCCTCAAAACACATGTACATTAGGGAGGTAATTCCATACTTCTATCCAGAATGACCTATAACTCTCATAGCAGTTTCCAATTGGTTCCTAACAGTGTGAATTTTTTTTACCTACACTACTCCAGTTTGGAGTCTATTCATGAGTTGATTACTCCATTATGAAGGGCTCTATGATGCTAGTAACTTATCCAGTTCAAGCTACAGTCTTCAAACAGAGCCTGAGTCTTTTTGTTTTAATTCTCAAGGCATTTGTTGCACTCAACAAGGCGGTGGGGGGTGAATCACCTTTTTGAGTTTGTTCAGTCAATGCTGGGCAGACCCCTTCTCACTGCTGTTAGGAAAATGGTCCCAGGATGTTAATCAAATGACCACTCATACCTTACAGGTAACATTCCAAACACCACCATCACCATCCCTCGATATGTCCTGTCCCACTGGCATATAGTTTGTAGGGAGTTGCCCTTGGAGTCCTCAACATTGAGATTTCACATTGTCAGGAGTCATTGTTTTAGGTTTAAAAAAAATGGGCAAGGAAACTTCCTGTCGCTTACCATGAACCATCCTCTCTTCGCTGGTGAAGCCATCTTGGGGGAAGCACTGAGGGTGGCAAGGGTGCAAATATACTCTGAGTAGGGGGATTTCAAATGTCCATGAACAAGCCAGTCAGGTTCTAAAGGAAATGGGTCTGCAGCAGATGGTGAGAAAACCACAAGGGAAGAATATACTTCACTTCCTCCTTACTAATCTGCTGGCTGCAGAACCATCTGCATGTGACAGTATTGATTAAAAATGACCACTGCATTATCCTTGCAGAGTCAAAGTCTCAACTTCACATTGAGAATACCATCCATTATGTTGTGTGGATGTATCACTGTGCTAAAATAGGACAGATTTTGAACAGATCTAGCAACTCATGACTGGGCATCGATGAGGCGCTATGGGTCACTAACTGCAAAACTGTACTCAAGCATTATCTGCAATCTCCTGGCCCAGCATCTCTTCCACTCAACCAATACCTTCAAGATAGAGAATTAACCCCGGTTCAGTGGAGAGTGCAGGAGGGCATGCCCGAAGCAGCATCAGCCATACCTGAAAATAAGATGTTAACCTGGTGAAGTTACCAAACAGCATAAGCAGTAAGTGATAGACAGAGCTAAGTGATCAGATCGAAGCTCTGCAGTCCTGCCACATTCTGTCATGAGAGGTGGTGGATAATTAAACAAATCACTGGAGGATGAGGCTCCACAAATATCCCAATCCTCAATGATGGAAGAGCCCAGCACATCAGTGCAAAAGACAAGGCTGAAGTATTCGCAGTAATCCTAGCCAGAAATGCCAAGTGAATGATCCATCTTGGCATCCAGTGATTCCCCAGCATTACAGATACCATATCAAGAATCAGCTGGAGGCACTCACAAAGGCGACAGGCCCTGACAACATTCCAGCAATAGTACTGAATACTTGTGCTCTAGAACTTGCAGCTCCCCTACCCAGGTTCTTCCAATACAGTTATAACACTGGCATCTACCTGCTGATATAAAAAATTGCCCAGGTATGCCCCATACACAAAAAAAGCAAGTAAATCCAACTTGGCCAATTACCACCCCATCAGTTGACTCTCAATCATCAGTAAAGTGATGGAAGGTGTCATCAGCAGGTGCCATCAGGCAACACCTGCTCAGCAATAACCTACTAAGTGGCACCCAGTTTGAGTTCCACTCGGGCCATTCAGCTCCTGACCACATTACAGCTTTAGTTCAAACATAGACAAAAGAGCTGAATTCGAGAGGTGGGGTGAGAGTGACTGCCCTTGACATTAAGGCCACATTTGACTAAAGGGGGCATTCAGGAGCCCTAGCAAAATGAATCAATGGGTATCAGGGACTGAACCTGGTATAAAGGAAGATGGCAGTGGTTGTTGGAGGTCAGTCATCTCAGCTTCAGGACATCTCTGCAGGAGTTCCTCAGGGTATGTGTGTTCTAGGCCCAACCACCTTCAGCTACTTCAACAATGAACTTGCCTCCATAAGGTCAGAAGTGGGGATGTTCGCAACATGATTTTTAAAATTTTTTATTCATTCACACGAATGAGGGCATCACTGACGAGGCAACATTTATTGCCCATTCCTCATTGCTCAGAGGGCAGTTAAGAGCCATCCACATTGCTGTGGGTCCGGAGTCACATGTAAGCCAGACCAGGTAAGGATGGCAGTTTCCTTCCCTAAAGGACGTCAGTGAACCAGATGGGTTTTTTCAACAATTGACAATGGATTCACATTCATCATTAATTCCAGATATCTACTGAATTCAAATTCCACCATCTGTTATGGTGGGATTCGAACCCAGGTCCCCAGAAGATTATTTGAGTCTCTGGATTAACTGTCCAGAGATGATAATACAATGCCATCACATAATGACCAGTACCATTCATGTTTCCTCAGATTCCTCAGTCCATGTTCAAATGCAACAAGATCTAGACAATATCCAGGCTTGGGCTAACAAGTAGCAAGTCACATTCACGCCGTACAAATGCCAGGCAATGACATTCAATGGTATCACCATCACTGAATCCCCCACTATCAACATCCTTGGGGTTACCATTGACAAGAAACTCAACTGGATTCTCCACAAACACAGCGATTACAACAGCAGGTCAGAGGCTCGGAATACTGCAGCAAGTAAGTCATCTCTTGATTCCCCAAGGCCTGTCCATCATCTACAAAGCACAAGTGTGATGGAATACCCCCCACTTGCCTAAATGGGTGCAGCTCCAACAAGACTCAAGAAGCTTGAAGAGAAATCCAGGACAAGACAGCCTGCTTGATTGGCACCACATCCACAAGCATCCACTCCCTCCACTACAAATACTCAGTAGCAGCAGTGTACACTATCTACGCGATACAATGCAGAAATTCCCCAAAGATCCTTAGACAGCACCTTCCAAAATCACAACCACTTCCATCTAGATGGATAAGGGCAGGAGATATATTGGAACACCAAGTTTCCCTCCAAGGCACTCACCATCCTAACTTGGAAATATATCGCCGCTTCTACACTGTCACTGGTGAAAATCCTGGAATTCCCTCCGTAATGGCATTCTGGATCAACCTATATCACATAGAATGCAGCAGTTTAAGAAGGCAGCACAGCACCACCTTCTCAAGGGCAACCAGAGCTGGGGAATAAATATCAGGCTCTCAGCAACACCCACGTCTCAGGAATGAATTTATTTTAAAAAATAAATGGACAGCGATTTTATTCTAAAGTGTTCCAAAACAGAACGTGACAGACTGTCATTTCTCTACTTTCCATTATAAATTCTGACTCTGCCTATTATGGACCCACATTTGTCTTTGTTAACCTGTTCCTTTTCATATAAGTTTGGAAGTTTTTACAATCATTTTCATGTTTCTTTAAATTTTACTTTCGTTTTCTGGTCTATAGTAACCTCCAGGATGTTAACTGTGGAGAATTGAGCAATGTTAATACCAAGGGGAGATGGTTAGATTCTATCTTGTTAGAGATGGTCACTGCCTGGCACATATGGCATGAATGTCAGTTGCCACTTATTATCCCAAGCCTGAATGTTAACCAGATCTAAAAGACCATAGGGATGTGGGAGCAGAAGTAGGCTATTCAGCCCACAAAGTCTGCTCTGCCATTCTACAAGATCACTGGCTGATCTGATAATCCTCAACTCCACTTTCCTGCCTTTTCCCTACAACCTGTGATTCCCTTACTGATTAAAAATCTGTCTCTCTATCTTCGCCTGAATACACTTAACAACCCAGCCACGACAGCCCTCTACGATAAAGGACACTGCATGCAAGACCAAACTAGTTCAGTTCCCGAGGAGTTGCAAACGCTGCTGGACATTACAATCATCAGCAAACAGCCCCACTTCCAACTTTATGATGGAGGTAAGGTAATTGCTCAAGCAGCTGAAGATGCTGGGATGACTGGCCTCCAATGAACACAACCGTCTTCCTTTGTGTTAATTATGACTTCAGCCAGTAGAAAGTTTCTCTCCCTGATTCCCATAGTCTTCAATTCTACGTGATGCCACATTTGATTTCAAGGGCTGTGACTCTCAGTTCTAGAATTCACGTCCTTTGTCAATATTTCGACCCAGCCTATAACAATGAACTGGAACAGAATGGCCCTCGGAAGAATCTAAACTGAACATTGGGATGGTTCTTGTTGTTTAAGTTCCACGTGACTATATTTGCCATTACTTTGATGATGATCAGGAGTAGATTGATTGAGTAATAAATTATCAGTTTAGAATTTGCCTTGCTTTTTGTGGAAAATTTTCCAAATTGGGGGTCAATGCCAGTTTTGCAGCTATAACAACACAGCTTAGCTCAGGGTTAGTTCTGGGACACAAGTTTTCAACACTACTGCCAGGGTGTTGTCAAAGCATGTAGCAACAGCGTATCCAGTGCCTTCAGCGGTTTCTTGATATTAAATGGACTGAACAGAATTGTCTAAAGACTGACATCTTTAATTCTGGAGACATCAGGAAAAGGACAAGTTGGATCATTCACTCAGCACTGCAGACTGAGAGGGTGTGCAAGTGCTTCAACGTTGTCTTTTGCGGTTATGTGCTGGGTTCCCCATCACTGAGAATGTTCACATCTTCAGGTTAGTTGTTTAATCGTGCATCACCATTTACAACTGGATGTGGTGGACTGCAGATCTTTAATCTGATCTATTTATTGTGGAATTGTTTTGTTCTATTGTATGTTGCTTTGGCTGTTTAACATGCATTTATAGCCTTGCATTATAATTTCATCAGATTGTCATCTCATCTTTAGGTATGGTCACTGCAATTTCTGGTAAGCTCGCTCTCCTGCTTTCCTCATTGAATCAAGATTGATCTCCTGGTTTGATGGCAATGGTAGATTGAATTATGTTCTTCTCCCCTAGCTTAGGGCCACAGAAACCTCTGTCCAAAGCTCAAGTCAGTCAACGTGGCAGAGGTCAGCAACTTTGGCAGAGACTACTGGCCCAAATATTTCCTTCTCTTTGCCTTCATGGAGTCTGACAGTACATTTGGTTTGCAGGATAGCTTATAATTACAACAAAGATTCCACATAGCATGAAAATTTTGTGTTTTAAAGCTATAGTGGGTTTTCACTTAATCATCCATAGGTGAAATATGTTGGGATCTCTTTACAGTCTGTAGCTGAATTGTGCTATTTTATTGAAAATATAAAGCAATCTCCCCCCACACCCCCACCACAACACTTACCCTTGATGTCAATGTCACAATCTGGTAGCATTAACAGAGTCAATGGATGGACCATGGAGGAGTCACGAACAAACACGTTCCCATTGGATTTCACAGCCATGAAATAGGTCAGCCAACGGCTTTTAAAATACTCCTCATTCCTGACATGAATTACAAAAACTGCGTTAGCACAGTCAAGGAAGCATTGTTTACAATGGTTCCTGACAATGAGATGGGACAAAAGGCATGAGAGAACTCCATGCTCTGGTCTGAATCAGCATATTCAAAGCTGACTATTGCTGAAGAGAGATACAAGTTGTTGAAGCTGTGCATCTTGCAGTCAATCAGGACAAAAACAAGAATGCCAAATTTCAAGCGATCACAACAATTGTGAAGAAAAGGCGCTAGTTGGTTGACAAGCTGCCACTAATTCTCCAAAGCACTGCCATGGAGATAACAACAGGAGGCATGCAACTCCCAGATAATTAACAAAAAACATACAGAGCTTGAACATATTCTATTGTTTGCAAAGAACAGAATGTTGCATATGAAGTTATGTGGTTTCTAGCAACTGTAAATGAGCCATATTCCAAGTTCAACTGATTATCATTTATTAGTGTGGCTATGTTCAGGAACTGGCGAATCAATTTAAAAGTACACATTTTATTTCAAGTTTTGAATGCACTGGCTGTTTAAATACAGTCTATACTCAGCCCATTGCGAACAACTAAAGGTAACACTGCTTGACTCAATCAGCCATTCACTAGGATGTACAGCCTATGTACCAGGCATTGCACTAGCAATGAATTTCACAGACAAAGTTGCTCAATTATGTGCTGGGCAGAATGTCTTTATGAAATTATGGCAACATCTTGTCAATGGAAATATTGTGTCTGTAGCCGCAGCATAGCAGTAATATGAAACAGCACATTTAACCTCAAGGTTTTGAGTTACTGTGCCTTTCCACGTTAATTTGAGATTGACTGAGAACTTCAGATCCAAGTGTGGCAGTCTTTAATCCATTTGCAAGTTTGTGCAAAACTCAGAAAACAATAATTTCATCAGGATAACATCTCTCCCACAGGTTAGCAAATGACCAGAATTCTCCTTACAAGATTACTCAATCAATATTTATACTGTGTGCAGCTAAATGAATTCCAGTGTGTACATTGACCAGTGAAATAAGCTTGGTGTAGACAGGAGTGAGTCAATCCGTAAAGGTCTTCTACCCACCACAGAATTGCACAACATTATGTATGAGTCTTGATGCCAACACTGGATGCAGTGTACAAAGGCTATACATTTCAAAAATTGGCTGATTGAATCAAGGGGCATGTCGCTTTGTTTGTTTGTATTAGGTAGAGTACACACCACACTCATGGTTGCAAATTCCAATCCATTTACTGTGAAACATGAATTTGCCATTGAGCAGCACTTGCTGACAATCCTGAGTCCATCAATAGCTATACCAATGGACAATTTAAAATGATCAGTCAAGCTTATAACATAACTCATTTACCTGTGCTAGAAGTAAATTAAACTTTTGTGTAGGGAATTGTTTGCAAACAGAAGCAATATGTTCAAAACTTGCATCGGTTTTAAACTACCTGGGAGCTTGGGGAGCCTTCTGTTCTCTGTTGTTTTCTCCACAGCAACACCTTCCCAATCAAAATCAACTTATCAACCAATTTCCCTTACTGTATAGACTGTTAGGATTGTTTGAAATTTGGCATTAAGTTTGCTGATATGTGCAAGACAAAAAGCTTCAGAAACACAAGTCTGTTTTCGGCAATATTCAATTTTTGGCCACATTCTGAGCAGATTGGTGGAGTTTTAGTTTAGTGACTTCAGAATAACAGCAATCTACAGGATGTCAGCACCTCTGGCAAAGCCAACATTATTACCTTCTTTCCCTGTAGAAAGTGGGGATACTAACAATTTTTACAGCTGAGTTGCTTGGTAGACTATTTCAGAGGCCAGTTAAGACTCAAGCTCTTCGATGTGAGGCTGGGGACTCGAATCACTAAAAGGTCACAATGTAAAAGGTTAAATTTTCTTCCTGAAAGGACATTAGTGAATCAATTTCATTACCACTCTTCCTCATAGTAGCTTTTCATTTTCAGATTTTTAACTGTATTCAAATTCTCAAATTGGCGTATTGGGATATGATATCCCATTCTCTGGATTTCCCAGTTTAGTAACATAACTTTTACTCAACTATACACATCTCTTTGATTTTCTGACTCTTACCAACAGAGCTGAAGTTACTTATTTTAGTTGAATAATTGCATTCACCCATCTCCCACTTCACAAACCAATCCAAGGAATGGTAAGAAGCAGTGAAAAGTCCTAGTGCTCAGCACATTTGTTATCAAATATTTTGTTGAATGACGAAAAGCAATTAATTTTACAATAATTTGCACTAAATGATGTAACATCCAGGCTTTATAAAACTTTGGACTTAACTAAGTAAGCAGCATCACTAGTGATCTTCTAATATGAAATATATCCTCTAAAACCTCTCTTCCCCCATACATGCACACACATCATGGCTTGCCTGTTCACTGTAGATCTGTGCAGCAATACCTGCCCACCTTTAGTACGGTAGACCAGGCTGTTGGGTTTAAATTTTCCCTCTTTGGTGACTTTCCCATGTCTCAGCTACAAAGCAAAAAGGAGAAAAAGAAACAAGCTTGTTAAATAGGTTAGCCAGTCTACAGTTCAAAATGTAGGAACAGGTGCTAACTGGTCAGCCCTTTAAGCCTGTTCCATCATTCTGTTAGACCTCAATCAATTAGTAACATCAGTAACACATTGCCTTTGGGGAGATTTTCAGATTT